TACCATAATTGTACGAAAAGTATTAAGTGGTACTATATTTGGTATTGGGTGAAGGGATACAACTCTGAAATATTTAGATTACTGAGGGTATCTGTGTTTGAGATTTGGCGGTGGTTTGGAATTGCGTCCTATATTTTTACGAAATGTAGTAAATTTAGTGTCTGATATTGAGACATGGAAGTGGTTTTGGAAATAATAATTGTACGAGATGTACTAAATGGTGGTGAAGGGATAGACCTGGAGTCCTGAAATTTGCTTTGGATGTCATTGTTGGTGTATGTGGTTGAGAGAAGGAGCTAGTTTTAGATATGTGTACTAAATGGTACTAAATTTCGTTATGGGAAAAATTACAGAGCTGAAATCTTGTAATTTGATCTGAGTTTGGAAATACGTACTATGACATACGAAAATTGCAAAATACCACAAAATGTACCGTTGGGTGTTGGGATATTGATGGAATACTGAAATTTTGGATGTGGGTCCATTGTACAATGGTCTGAAACTTCGGTAAACTTTAAAATTAACGATTTTGGTGACTTTTTGGTGTAAAAGATAACCACTTTCGTATTATTTTTATTTTCGAAAAAGGAAAAACTTAAAAAATATATAAAGCCTTGAATGTCTGAAAATTTAGTACGATGTATGAAGTTTTGATTAAAAATTTTGTCAACCTGAACAAATTCGATCACGAAGTAGCGGGCACTTGATAGCCAATTATATGTGTGGACGCCAGTTTTAATAGAAATTCCGGTACAAGTAGTCCAAACCCCGTAGAGAGAAACAGAGAGTTCATCAAGGTTGAGTGATATCACCGGAACTGTTTAATCCCTACCTTTCCCAAATTCCTCGGCCTTCAGACCGCATTTGGGTTCTGTCGCCGATAACATATATATTAGGTTGAACACCTATCTTAATCAGCTTGCCGCCTTCTACCAATCAACAAATATGAAAATATCCGCCACTAATTTAACGACCATACTCTTTACCACATGTACTGCGGGAATGAGTATGCAGCTGAATGTGCTGGTTGAGGGACATTTAATTCCCGCCACGAACTACCCCCCAGGTTTCTAGGCGTCACATTCGACAGTATGCTTAAGTCGTCCGCGCAAACCACAGCAATCTTTTATAAATTAAAAAACCTAACAAGTAGTTCAAGGCGCTAGCCGCAACACTTGGGTCGGGAATAAGGTGATCTTTTGATCACGGTCTGTGATTAGCTATTCGGCTTCACTGTTGTCTATGAATACTGGTGGAAAGCAGTGAAGAAGTATTAATCCTGTCAGGTTGAAGCCTTCAGAGTACACCAACAGGGTGCCTCCTCATGACACCAGTGGACCATTTACATGAGGAGATGAAGATTTTTCCCTAACTTCGGCATAATGGCATGCTTTTATTGCAGTACCCGCTTGAGTGTTATTGTGGGTGTTATATAGTACATAGAGCTCCAACGACACAAAAGAGAGCTTGAATGCTTTAACATCCATTGCAGCTAAATAACGTAATAGTTGTAGCTAAATTACGTTCAGAATGGTGTAGTCGTCTTAATTCGTATTGGGCGCGAATTGATGGAACGCCAGAGGTCCGCATACAAGACTGCCTCCATTTAGCAGCACCACCAGACTTACCCAATACACTCTAAAAAATCTTTGGATACAGCCTATCAGATTAGCTGATTAGCTGAACAGTTTCAAAAGCTTGTAAATGTATTGCACATGTCTTTTGTTTTAAAAGAGAGAAACGTATACCTGGGCAACACTTTCTGGACAGGCTAAGGTCACCAAATCCTACGTATAGAGCTTAATATCAGACAGAAATAATAATTACACAAGAAGTTTTGCGTTTTCCAAACGGAGGTCTACATTATTCTTAAGGTTCTAGAGCACATCGTCAGTGGTGAATTAGGACACTTAAGTCCTCAAATAGGTGGAAACAAAAACGGCGATGAACTGGCACGTACAAGCCCCCCAACTGAATCGTCTAAAAGATTCCATAAAATCGCCGCCGTACCGTCTTATTAGTGGGCCTTCAAGTTCTTCTCGAACAATCTGGTGAGCTTAGGTGTTGTATAACAAAATTGATCTGGTCAACTCTTTCCAGCCGGAGAACTTTATTTATATTCTCTCTCTCTCTCTCTCTTTATAAGAGGAAAAGGTGGAGACGACTATCCTGCGACTATGAACTTCCAAGGCTCACCTGACTATCCTCACGAACGGCTGTGGATCTTGCCCGTTTCTCCAAAGTTTGCCAATACCTCTCGGGAAATAATCCAGGACATTCCCTATTAATTTCCTTACTTTGTATTATATAACAATTATATCAGATGTAATTCGAAACTTTTTAATTGTAATTTTAAAATTTTACTTGTAATTCGAATCATTCGAATTGTAATTCGAAAATTTTAATTGTAACTCGAATGATTCAATTTTTAATTTAAATTATTCCGAATTATTTCAATTGTTATTCGAATGATTCGATTTGTAATTCGAATTATTATGTAACTCGAAATGAGGAAAATGTGAATCTTCATAGGTAATTTTCTGACTGGTAGTGATAGAATGAGTATTAAATTTGAAACAATTGCGGTGAAAATTGTGTCTAAAATCGTGAAAATACCGAATATTGGGACAGTGGCAGTACAGTTCTCTGCAAGAATGTTTCCTACATACCGAGAACATAAACTGTCAATTTGCATCAAATTTGGTTTGAAATTGTAACTCAAACGCCCCAAACACCTTAAATCTGCCAGTATACTTATATGGGGCTATACCAAAGCAATTTTCAAATTCAATTCTGCGGACTTAAGATAAATGTGAGTGCAATTTTGTCAACCTTCTTCATTTTGTTCGGAAGCCGATTTCCACTTTCACAGACGGACATAGAGCCGAGCGGACATGGCTAAATCGACATAGAATATTATGCTAATCATGATATATATTCTTGATATTTTATATTTTATACTTATGACCTAATTTTTGTCGTCATCGAGAAACAAAATTGCAATTCTAATGTTAAAGAAAAAAACAAGTAAAAATATATAAGTCGGTTGTGCGGACAGATGTTCGATTTTTTAAATTTATTTTGCGATTATTAACAATTATTCAAATCATTGACCCTCTATGGAGTAGGTTCCAAAGTAATGGGACAGTATTGTCCATTTCGTAGCGGACCTAAATAAATATGATATAAATATTGCGACGTGCCAGTATTGGACTACATTGGTTACTTCCTTCATGGGAAGGTATTCACAAATATATATCATCTTCATAACAGATCTAGTGTTACGCTTTCAAAATCTTGAACCCTATGTGGGGGAAATACCAAAATAAATGGTCCGATCTCTACCATCATTATAGTAAATCTTGTGTTGATGAAAATATTGAGATGTACCAAGTCTTTCAGGGATATTCAAAATTCTGACCCTTTGTGGGGAAGATACCAGAAGGAGTGGACCGATATATCCCATCTTCACAGCAGATCTTGTGTTAGTAGAAATAATGGGATGTGTGAAATATGAAGAAAACCGCATGCTTATTTCGGATTTTATGATCCTTTTTGGTTTTTCAAATCTTTTCAAACAAACGGACATCGCAAGATCGACTCCAAATGTCCTGCAATGAGACCTAGAGTCTAAAACCGTTATTTCGATAAGGTACGTTTTGACTGTTTTAATAATATATATCCTCTCTAGCCATATGGCTGAGAGATGATTATGATTAGTGATAATGGGTCAGATTTAGAAATATCTTCCGTATAATACTTCCTCAAATATTACGTTCCTTGTGCGCCAAATAAGATGGATCCTAGCACGTTAGATTGAATTCATCCTTGAAGTAAATCTGCAAAATGTTAAGATATTGCAACAGATTCGACTTTAATTCACCATAAATTATACCCCTTAAGACAAGTTAACAAAGGCTTTGATTAGGCTGTGCCGACCATGTGATACCATATACCAAGTTGAGATAAAGTTTCTAAGTTAACAACTTTCCATTTGTAAAGGAAGGTATGACGATCAGAGGTTATTGTAGGGAGAAAATTTAATTTTAAATAACCAACCTAGTGTAGTGACCGTAGAAAAATGTATAAAGCAAGTTTGTCAAAATTAAGAAATCAAAATTAAGAAAGTTTGTCAAAATTAAGAAATCAATTCTTTTGCGATTTATACTCAGAATTAAATAAATCGACGAACGGAAGTCGAGGTATAACCACTATTTTGAAGTGTTCGGGCAAAATCCAATAGAAAGCCTATTACTCTCCACACTGATATGAGGTGTAAATAATTGAAAGAGAAGTTTAAAGATATTTATCTTTTCTTGTACAATTTAATATAAGACTTTACAGTCTTATAGATCTGCCAAAAATTAGTATGAGGCAACACGGATTATTTATGAATTCTTGGCCTTCAGAAAATGATTATCCAAAACAACTAAACATTTCGACAATTTACCACTGCTTTCTTATAACAGTCACATATATGTCTCTTATAATTATGTATCTCCTGTATATAAGTTAAAGCAAGATGTTCCTCTTTCAAAATAATATTACATCCAAGACAAAATCAAATTCAACCTGTACGCGCCTAAAGGTTTAACGATGATATCAACGAAAACTAGCACAAAAAGTTCCTTATCCATGACAGAAATGTAGACCTTTCAGGGTTTACAGGAAATCAATCTTGTTTTTTCGAATTAGTAGCTTCTTTCGATTGTCTTCTTAAAACAGGCCATAAATATAAATCGAATTGACTTAGCAAATTTTGGATTTATCGACGTTCTTACTTGTCAAACCAAAACTTAAAATATAATTAAAATTTTTGATGCACGTTCTTAATCACAGATTACAGATGAATAAACTAACGTGATTCTTTAAAATCAAAGAATGCCACTTTAAAACACGATAGTCATGTTTAGATTTATCATTTAGATTTACCTTCCCTTTTTGTTAAATATTTTCAACATTTAAGACCAATATTAATATTTAATGCCTATTTGTCTTACCTGCAAACTTTGGAATAGTGCATCGAATAATCCAACAACAGAATTGCCCAATAGCGCATGTCTTGCAATTTGAGGACACAATGTACAAGCATTCCGATACAATTGGACAGCAAGTACGACAGCCCTAAAAGAAAGAATGGAAAAATTAAATATTACTCAAAATTGAAAAAAGGAGAAATTTACTTTTTAGAAACATCCGATTCATCCTGCATGCCCGGAGTAATCACAGCACTGATTATGGTTCCCAAACCGTCCATAAGTAAGAAACATTGGAAATCAAATACTTGGGCTTTGGCCATTATACGCAACAAATGGCCAAGGGCACGTTCTAATCCTTGAGAACCACCACCTTTGTTGACTAAATTCAGATATTTGGGAACCTGTGATTCGCGCTTCATATGAAGTGGTACAGGTTGCAGTTCTTTTAGATATTCTTCAGCCCTAAAATGGGTAAGGAAAATATGTTATCACACAAGAAATTCAGAACATTAATAAAATACTTAGATCCTGCTTCTGTGTTACAAATGCAAAAGAAAACGCCATTACACATGTGTTTTAAAATTAAGTCAAAAAAAAATATAAAAATCTCATTTCGAATCGGGTTTTTCTTTGGCATTCACTTTCGTATCGCGTCATACGGAAACAGTTCGTTAGTATGGAATACTTACGCCTGTGCCATTCTGTGTTTTAGTTTCTTCATCTTTTTCTTATAGCCGCGGCTGTGTTCTCGACTACCAACATCGGAGACGGTTGACGAAAGATCACCATCCTCGATCTTCTCATCGACATCTGACCGGGGCAAACCATTTTCTTCAACATTTCTCGAAGGTATGGTCAGTTCCAAAGCCCGCTGGCGTATATGTTCAATATTTTCCTCATGCCGACGAGCCGATTCCTTTTGTTTTTGAAGTATTTTCCTTTGCAGTTCTTCGGTGGTTTGTTGATGATGTACTTGTAGGGCCAACAAACGTTCTTCACGATCTCTGGCCTTTTCACGTGCCAATGCCTGACGTTGTTTCTCTTTTTGTTCCTGCATTTTTCCGATTCTTTGTTCTCGTTCCAATCGCGATTCATTCATTTTCTCCAACTTGCGCTGACGAGCCTGTTCCAATTCTAGACGCCGCCTCTCGACAGCGGCTTCTTTTGCTGCCTTCTCTTCGAGTCGTTTTTGTCGCTCCTGTTCGAGGTCTTGCAAACGTCCTTCCGTCTCCTTGGACGATTCAATGAGATCTAATCGCTTATTTTGCGCTTCAATGTTTTTAATGAAATTAATCTCCTTCAGTTTCTTTTCTTCATCGTGGGCCTTTTCTTTGATATGCTTTAGGTATTGCTCACGATTCTCAGCTGCTCTCTGGAGGCGTCCCTCCATTTTTAAGCGCTTATCTTCGATTAGTTGTCTTTTGGCTGCCTTGACGTCTTCCACTCGCGCCAACAGTTGTTGGATTTTTATGGCCTTCTCCTTGTTGAGGAGCTCACGTTTCTGTTGAGCACGAGCCTGTTTGGCTTGATACTTCTTGAGAGTCTCCTGTAGAGAGCGTCGCCGAGAGGGTGACGACAGTTTTTGATGTAGTTCTTGAGCACGGCCTGGATGTCTGGAAACATAAGCCTGCAGTGTTGCCAGAGCCTCTTCCCGCTCTCCCCAGGACATTTCGGATAGCAATGCTTGATAACGGGTCTCCAAACTTAGATTGGGATCATCATCAACCTCGTTTATGGGCACAAACACTACAGAGGAAGTGTCAAAATTGAAATCGTCACGATCTTCCTCGTCATCACGATCAGTGCCCAGTATCCCAACTTCGCAGTCCGTCTCATCAGTTTCGGTGTCCACATCAATTTCCGTGCTTTCCAACTCTCGTATTTGTCTCTCGAGTGATTCTTGCTCCTCCACCAGTGCACGTTGATGTTCATCACACTCATCGTTCTCATCACAGCTAGACAAAGCTCCGGGGCCATTGCTTATTTGCGAAGTCGACAAATCGACACGGTTCGATATGCTCTTGTATAGATCACCAATTGTTTTTGAAAAATCGCGATTTGTTTGGATTTTGATGTCGATTTTGTTGTGTTCGGCCGAAGAGGAGGAGTTCAAGTCGACACCGAGCATCTCAGAAGGAGACGATGAGTGCGGGGCTTCAACAATTGTTTCAGCCGACGAGTTGATATCCGAGTAGTCACCCGATCCCAGTGGACGATGATTGAGAATCTCTGAAGATTTTGTTGTGCCATTCAGAACGTTGTTTTGTTTTCTTAAAGCTAGCTTCTCACTGCGCATATACTCTTTGTGGAGAGAGGTCATTTTGAGACCAGTCAAATCGGATTTTTGCCTTTTGATAATGGTCTGTCGGGTTGGTATATTGACCCCATTGGCGCTCCTTGCCGATGAAGCAATGGGCAGTTGGTTACTGTTGTTGTTTTTATGCGGTACCGAGGAGTTCGCATTATTTGTAGCACTCTTTTTTTGATTGGCAGGTAATGAATTCACTTTGGCTTTGGCATTTCGAATTTCTGGCCGCACGGAATGTGTTGTTGACTGAGCCTTTTGGCGTTCTGCCAATTTGCTGGTTTTGGAGGGCTTTGCATGTTTACCGTTGCCGTTTACAACAGGTTTTGTAGGTTCGGGTTTTGGCTTTGCCGATGGAACCGTATCAACTTCATCGTCACTCTGTTTTTCATCCAGCAATGCCAACGTGGGCAGACTGGCATAGCCAGTGGGCTGATTGAAACGCGATGACCAATGCATGCTGGAGCGACGTCGATTTTTGACCGTCAGCCAACCATCATTGCTATTGTTGTTGTTACTGTCATTATTACTTGGCAGTTGTTTGGGTTCAGATCTCCGTTCATCCACTGCAACTGGTTGCATGGCGTTGCGACCCATCGATGATATTTTCTCGTTACTTGCCTTTAAAGTTGAGGTTGAGCTGCCGATATCATCTTTGGACGATTTATTGGAACCAAATGCCGATGATTTGTTTAGATTGGAGATATTTCTTTTGAGCATATTGGTGGATTGCTTCTGATGACCTCCATTTGCACCTTTGTTGTTGTTGTTCATTTCAATCATTGTCCTCGATCTGGCCGACAATCTGCTGGCCACATTCGAGGGCGGCCCATAGGCTTCCAATTTGTTATTGTTTACAGCACGTGGTGGCAATGCAGACCTATTATTATTTCTGGCAGATGTTCTTGCAGTTGCCGCTATTGAAGGCTTATTGGATGCCAGCGAAGAGGCAGTGGAACGTTTCGTGGATGCCGGAGGCACAGGACCTTTGACTGATTTATTAACATTTGCCACTCTAAGAGTTGATGCCTTGGTGTTTGCTATTGGTTTCGCTGTTGCTTGGCTACTGCTTTGGGAAGATGCAGTTGAGGTTGGCGCTGCTGGCCTATTCAAAACGCTTGAATACTTCATTGGGCTATTTTGGGCCGTTGTAGTGCCTGTGTTCGGCACTGTTTGTGGCTTCTTCGATAAATCACCCGGCTTGGGAAGTTTTTCTTCACCCACTTCTGATACCTTTTTTAGGACTGTTTCCGGAGGTGTTGGATCTTTTTTAGTGTTTATAGCTAAAAATTCACTTTCCATGCTATCCAACTTTTGAGTGGTCATTTCCACAGCTGTTAGTTCCTTTTTTATTTCTGGGGGTAGTATGGGCTCCTCCTTGGGAGTGGCTTCTTCCACTTTCTGTTGCATTTCTTGTTGCTCTTCTTGTTGTTTTTGCATTTCGAGTTCTAGCTGCCTTTTTCTTTCCTCCTCTGCCTCTCTTTCTTCTTGCTCCCTTTGCATTTTCTCCCTTATGCCAGCCAATGTCAGGTGATCATCTTCCAGATCTGTTTGAGCATACTGATGACTTCGATTTTCCAATATCATGGGAGCTGTTTCCTCCTGCACAACATCTACGATGGCAGCTGGTGCAGGAGATGGAGTGTGGCCGTCCTCTGCATCCTTTTGTATTTCATTGATGAGTCGCTTAGAGGAGGCAAAGAGTTCCCTTACATTCACACGCACACCCTTGCGTGGCGAAAGTCCTTCCAAGCAGGGAGAACTTTTGCCAGAGTATGCATGTGGACATGGACTGGATTTACCTGAGACCGTGGGACTCGAAAGACTTTTGGCTCTTACCCGTGGCGCCGGATTACTTTTTCGTATTTCCCAAGCCAGCGAATTGGGTCTCTGTTGTACGGGTCTTGATTCATAGTCCCACGATACCTTAAACCATTCTCCCAAAGCTTTGAAATCACGCACATAGTTCTCCAACACTAATATGGCCTCTTGACATGATGAAATATTTTCATAACATTCAACGGTCTGATAAATTTCATTGACCGCTCGTTGCAAATTGCCGAACAGTAGGGCCCAGTAACGTGCTTGCAGTTCTGATTTTTTGTCTCTCCCAGTGGATGCACTGCGCACCCGTGGACCCGTCGATTGTTTTTGTGCATGTCTTGTGGGGGAATGTGATTTTTTCGGTGTCTGCAGTGGGAATGACAGCAATGCATTTGGTGATTTGGGCGGTTTACGATGTGGCATGGATTCTAGAAACGAAATTGAAATGCAGAAAAATATGAAAATTTTGTTTTTGAAAAGGCAAGGGTTTCGATTTTGAATTTTAAATTAAATTAAAAATAAAAAGAGTAGATATTATATACAGTGTGAATATCATGCTACAACAGATTTTTTGAATTTATTTGCAATTTAGTATTTTGGGTTCTAAATGAATATTTAAGAAATCTCCGTTAAAGTTCACAATTCAATATAATCCTCATGAAACCGTATCACCAGGTTTTCTTTCTATTTGGTATTTATGATTCTTCTAAATATTTCCGACATTGTCGCTATGCGAAACAATCTCAGTATTTTTAAAGGTGTTGGAGTGGGGTATTTTAGGGGTGATATCATATAATTGCAAATAGTTTTGATTTTAACAACCATAACAAAGCTTTTTTTATACACTCAGTCATATGTTATATATCATTTCATACGGCCAAAACGTGCATAATCGAAATAATTGTTTTAGAGCCTAGGTCTGTTTGGATCAAATCCGTTTCAGGACATTTGGAGTCGATCTACGGTTGTCCGTCTTTCTGTCTGGCTGGTGCGCACGATAATTCTGGAAGGGAGTACCAAACTTTGTACATCATATTTTATTGTCAAACTAAGATCGAGTTCTGAGATGGGCAACATCGGTCCAATCCTTGTACGTCAATGTTTCTATCAACACAAGATCTGATGTGAAGATGGAATATATAGGTCCACTCCTTCTGGTACCTCTCCCACAACAAGTCAAAAAGGTACCTCACGCACATTTCAACATTTCCCATCCAAATCGATTTGATATAGTCCAAATCTGACCTTTGTAATATTTATATTGGTCAGATACGATATGGACAATACTGGCCTACTCATTTGAAACCTCTCCCTTTGTGAATAACGAATATGCGATATGGGGATTACATCTGTCGTTATAACCGACTGATACTTTTTAGCTTGTTTTTTTATAGAATTTAAATAAGAGCCTTTCCGATATACAATTCTGCAACGTTTTAAACATCTGTATTACATTTATAAAATCTTCAACCAAGGTTGAAAATTTATGTGCCCTTCGTCATTGCATTTCATTTTTTCCATTCCATACCCAGTAAAAACAATGGAAGCTAATGAATTTTCCTCTTCCCTTGTGTCTAGGATTTGACGTGGTGTCGTTTTCAGAATCCTGGTTCGAACATATTCCGGATGCTTTCCTGGCGGTAAAAATTAAAACATTGAATATTTCAACTCGCCCGGTGTAAACCAGCCAGGTGAGGCCCGATAAGACTCTTCGATTCTTTCCAAAGATAATAAATTAGAAAAGGAAAAGAAAAGTGAGAAAATAATTCATTAGTTATCTGTGTACATGCAATGGGCAGCCTGAGAAACTGCGCCTACTCATTTTTTGCCGAGATACCTATAGGACGCCTCTTTGACTATAGGACGCCTCTTAGATTAAATTGGACAATTGACAATTGTGCCCTGAGGTCTTTCTATACACAAAGGGCACCTGTTAATTTTACTGGGAACAATACGTTTTCGATAAGAAATAAAAACTTAACTATATCCAGACCGAAGTTGTGCAAGAAAATAAAGTTTTTGCATAGAAAGTAATGGCTAGCTGCCCGATATTGCAGGAGGACATTGGTGTCGGACTTTACTGTGTTAGAGGCACAAAGCCTTCGGTATCGGAGTTCAATTGACATGAGTTTAATTAGGTCTTGGAGGCATTCACGTAACATTGGAAGTCCTGGCTTATGTGTAGAGAGATGGGTTTCCATGATGGGTGAGATGACACGCAGGCTATGTTGCCTGACTGACAGAATCTTGATCTCCTCATGGTGGCGGCCCACACTGGTCATATGGACAAAAGCAGCTGCAACTCAAAATGGCTTGTTCTGTGACGTTTGGCAAATTCTCTACTGAGTGTCGCTAAAGATTGAAGTCCTGACCGGAAGAACATAGTTAAGGACTTGACATTCTTCTTGAGGTTGGTAGAGGTAGACTACCCTCAGCAATTTTTTGGATTATGTTTAGTTCCAGATTTACTTCTCGTGTCGTTGAACTGAAGGGTGACATGGTTGACTTTATAGTAGATAATATAAAATCGCACTCTCGGAAGAAATAATTGATGGTGGACAATAAGCGAACATCTTAGAAATTATGCCTTCAATGTTTATGTCTGATGCAATATTGAATCATCGAGATATCTGCAGGTTGAGTGGGGAATTTCGCAAGATATAGATTGAATAAAATGGGTTAAGGTACTCCGTATTACGGCACACAAATTTTTATATTGCGCTATTTACATGCACAACGATTAATGTGTGCATAACTGGCTTTGGATCTGCCCATCGGGATATTCTCTTTAGAAACTATTTCTTCAAAAACATAACAACTGAGGGCAAATCAAAAACCCCCACATCGTTTTAAGTTTGTCTATAGAGACAATTGTAAAGATGCATCGTTTCAAGTTTTTCTATAGAGACACTTGTTAAGATAAAGACCTGATACCTTCCTACATTTTCCAGATGTTTTGACCAAGACAGTGTAGGGCACAGAAATTTTCCATTATAGAAGAGTGAATGCATTTAAGTTTCAGTTTTTTGTATTACAGCGAACCTCTCTAATTGTATAAAACTTTGTCGTATGTAAATGGATATGTATGGATCACAACAAAGAAGCTCAACATTAACTTACTGTCATAGCTTGATGATGATAAATTCAATGGCCTTTCATCGCATATTTGATAGGCTACCAGATTTTTTGCCTCTCGACCTTCCCTGCCCAAAACTTCTTTCATTTCCATTGTGAGTGATGTTGCAACGAACACTGCTTGCTTTTTGTGTGCTTTTTCGACTCCACTTAGGCAGGCAGCAAGTTGTAACGTGTATTAGTCACAACACCCACACTAAATATGGCAAAGCGTTGTTCGTTGTCGTCTTCGTTCAACCGGCACCTGTAATTAAAAGACCTAATTATTGTTTATATTCCAAGGTAACAGAAACGAATTTTCATTCGAATACTCAACACTTTCTTGGAAATTTTGGAAAATCCAATCCAGTTGCAACAGAAAAGAGATTCCAATTAAGATTTCAATTGGAGTCACACCTTGTCTTGTGTTGTTATTACGTTGTTGTTGTTGCTGTTGTTGTAATTCTGTGAGACAAATGAAAACAAGAATCAGTCTACGATGATGTTGTTTGCTGTTGTTTTTGTTGCTTCTTATTTTGTGTGCGATTTTTTGGTAACTTCAGTCACTTCAATCCTTCTTCTCTTTTGCAGAATTTCTTAGCTCCAAATAGTTGCTCTTCAGCTATTGCACAATAGCAGCTGCATGTTTTGTGTCAATTAAATTCCAAACTTTTCCCACATTTTATTCAATGCTAATTTGTTAATTAACTAATTTAAGTTTTTTTATAAGAGTTGTGTCGTTCCTGACCGAACGCCGTGGAAATAAGAAACAAAGGACAAAACGAGAATGAACACTAAAAATCGAAATAAAAACAAACAAATTATTGCGACAGCTGCCAACCAGTGTTGTGAAGCGTGTTCTGTTGTATGTTATCACATTGTGATCAGCTGACAGGGAAACGAACACAATCATAGCGAAAAGCGGTAAAGACTATGTTTACATAGAACCGTTAGCAGTATATTTGAACCATAGTACAATAATCTTAAATTAAAATGAAAAAAAATTAAAGATGCAAAACAAATGCATAGTTTCCCCGTTAATGGGTAACAAAATATACAGAGTGGGATGAAAAAACTGCAACAAAGTCAAACGCCATAATTTTTACATTTTTTTTAAATTTTATTGAATGGAAGCAAAAAATGTCGGAAATAGCATGAAATTTTAGAATAAGTTTAGATTTGTTCGAATTAGTCACCTTTGGCACGAATTATGGCCTTATGGAACAAGCGAAGCAACTCTTAAGCTCTTTTGTGTCCATTTTCTTCCTGTTGCGGTGTAAGTTCTTGCACTTTTTGGAATTTCAATGGCTTTACCCTGAATTTCATTCGATATTTGCCGAATGGAATATTGCGATATGTTCAGCTCACGAGCCATTTTTCGCCCACTGCGACACGGGTCAAGACGCTTCTTTACTTTTCGAACCATTTCTGCTGATGATGCTGTTTTCTTCCGTCCTTTTCCTTGACGTCGTGATACGCTACCAGTTTCACGGTAACCAGCGATGGTACGAGACACAAAAATTTTATTCACATTTAAATGCTGGCCGAATATAAAGAAATCACACTGTCACGTTTGAATTCCATCACGAATAACTTTTTTCGGAAAAATTCTCACCAAAATGCTTTTGTACGTTTATAAACAATATAATGAGCTGTCACTGAAATAATTTTAACAGCTGTCGGACGAGTGGCTTTGAATTACAACAGTCTGAAGTTGGTTGCAGTTTTTTCATCTCACCCTGTATAATTTTGGGATAATACCACGGTACAATAAGGAGATAGAAAAGCTTCGTAAAACTATTTAAATACACCATCAAGGCTATGCCCACTTACTGTCAGAATCATTCAAAATTAGAAATTAAATATTTTATATTTTTCGTCACTTTTAAATTTAGTAAAAAAGAGCAGAAAATGAATGAAATACTTGGATTTTCTTTCAAAAATATGATCCAAACTGTCCAATCTTTCAATTCCATTCCAAAATTGATAAATAGATTTAATGCGCGCTCCGCAATGTAAAAGTTTTCCAATCACTGATTTTTGAAAATGTTTTGTTTTTATTTTTCTAAACAGTAAATACTTACACAAAATTGGCAAACGTCGGGCACACTTAGAAAAAATTATAATCAGTTGGTAGTTCTACCCATGGTACAATGAAGAGAAGGTAGGTCAACTTTGAAAAAATTGCAAGTATAGAGGTCTACCTGTTTGGCTTGTAATGTCAGAATTAGTATCAAAACAATAAAAAATCAAACAACTTGTTGCATTTATTTTGAATAAATAATTTCAAACCGCGAAAAATGAATGAAAGGTCAAAATTTCTTTTCAAAATCATGTTCTATATATCTCTTATGGTTTATTTCGCGACAAAAAATGTAGATTTTGTCGAGGTATACGTTGCAATAAGCATTTTGAAAACACCCAATATGAATATTTCCTGAACAATTTTTTTTTTTTATTGAAAAAATACACACACATAAACAAATGAAGTTGACATATTAAGCCAGAAAATTAAAAAAATTGAAATCATATGGTAGTTCTGCCCTACCTTGAATTCATTGTACCATGGTTCTACCTTACCTTTTCATTGTACCATGTGTAACATAATATTAACCCTCTATGTTGGATTCATGGTACAATGAAAGAAAGGTAACCTAATTTACAATTAGCATTCCCAACTCTGCATTTTTTGTAATTTACCATGTCAAAATTTAAGACATAAAAACAGTTACCATCTCTGATTTTGTGTGTATACAATAGGTTTATAAATATAGATTTTGACAATGAGATGTTGTCAAATGTTTAAATTTGAAAAAATTGTAAAAATAACCACTGAAAAATATTGTTTAATGCCATGTTTACGTTAGAAGTTTTTGTAGGGTTAACCTATTTTGAGGGGATTTATTTGAAGTAAAAGTAATGGATATGACAATTTAAATCCAAATCCAGTGGGTTAACCCTCATATATATAAACGTACTATTAATCAATCAAATACCGAATATCGGGGAGTACCGTTATATGGGGGCTATACGACATCGTGGACCTATATAGCCCATCTTCGAATTTGACCTGCCTGCGACAAAAGACAGATCGGTGCAAGATTTTGGCTTCCTATCTCAAATCGTTTTGAATCTAGCATGATTACAACAGACCGACTGACTGGGCTAATTCGTCTTACAATTTTACGCTAATCAAGAATATATATGTTTTTGGTCTGCTCCAGAACCTGCAAAATCTACTAGTTTTTAAATTTTCTTCGTACCAAAAAAGGTAAAATCGGTTATCATAGTAAAAACTTTTAGATTCTTGCAGTTCTAGAACAGACCACTAGTTATGTCTAAAATTATTATTTCGAAGAGTTATAAACGGAATGACTAATTTAATATTCCCTCCATACCATGTACGAAAAAGTCCTCAAGCATTCCTTTCAATTTTGGAGTTTCCAACTGCAAAAGATTGGAAAATTAGAATTGACGCCGTCAACAAATGACAACACATAACCGATTTTCTGGCATTGAAACGCGAATGTGAAAACCCAACTTTCATGTCTCCAGAAGATGTAGACTTCTCTTAATACCATCAGTAAATATACTCGCGCTACACAAAATCTTGTTTTACAATTATTATACGCAAATTTAAAACATTCCTAAAGTCGATAACGAACAATCGATTACTTTCTATATCAAATATTTCTTCAAATTGTCGATGAGTTCATTGTCAGCCTACATATCCCTAGTGTTGTGTGCCTGCCGTACGAAGTTGAGTTGGGATGTTGGCTCTTTCGTTGGCCCAAAAAATAAAGAATTCAACGAAACTAATTGCAAAAAACGGACAAATTGAGAAAAAGAACTAAACAGAAACAATTTTTTCAAATAATTTGCAATTATTTGTCACATTAAGTTCAATAAGATTATAGAAAACTAAAAAAGGAAATTTTTTCGGTAAAGGCACGTCGTCGCTGACAAGTAAAAATTCCATAAATTGTTTTTGTGCAAAAAGAAAGTGTCGAAAGATATATGGAAAAAAATCAGTGTAGTGTGAAAAGAAGCAATTGATGGTAGAAGTGAAATCGTGATGTCACAACTTTAGACTCGCTTAGACCAAAAACAGCCAAACTAATTCTAATTAAATAGAAGAGGCTCTGCTTGGTGGTCGGGTTTCTTTTAATACGATTTTTTTTATTTCTTTCAAGTTGGAAAATTTGTTGGAGGAATTCCCAAAGAGAAGTTGTGAAAAAATAATCCAATTGCCAAAGAACAAAGAATAACGTTAACAAACAAAACCAAAAGAAAAAGCCCGTGTGAGAGAGAGAGCGAACAAGAGAGTGTTTTTTTTTGAGAGACTCATTGCATGCAACTCTTTGACGTACGTTTCTCACTCTGCCGTAAAACAAACAAAAAAAGCAAATCCCGAACCAGAATTAATGAAAATACGTCCACAAATTGATATAAAAAAGAAAATTGCCCAAACGACAAGTCTTAATTAATAGTTTATGAAGCAAAAAGACACAAAATAATAAACCCTCCAGTTATAACAACAACGATTTTAAACAACAACAACAATTACGGCCAATACGCATAATAAGCCAAACAACCGTCACACAAACACTCTATTGACAAACTAGAAAAATACAGCAACAACAAATTACTACACCATTTAATTACATACAGTACATCACGATTCCGCCCACAACAAGAAAAGAGTTGCCACTTCTTTAAAAAAAAGTGAAACAAAACAAAAAAACGAAACGAAATTTTATTTATCAACAAATAAAAATTATATCTCAAAAAACGTCCAAAGACTTCCTATTTCCCCCTGATTTTAATTTATATCCGTGCCCGTCCATTAAATACCAACACACCACACAACAACACACACACACACACCGACTCTCACACACACAGAGAAACAGAGAAAAACCAACGTGTACTCACGTCCATTATCCTTGCACAAGACATTGTTGCGAGTCGAGCACAAACAAGTCCTTCGCCAGGAGTGAGTGTAGCTGTGGAAACGCCGTGAGAACACTAAGATTTGCTGTCACAACGACTAACGGTATCTGTTGTAATCATATTTAGTCGTTTACAACATGTCTCTGGATTCAGGTGCTGGTGGCGGCGGTGGCGGCACATCGTCCAAGACTGTCGATGAGCTTCGCATGGAAGTCGAGCGTTTAACGCGTGAACTCGATCAAGCCACAAGTGAACGAGCTCAATCGGCCCAGTATGGCCTTTCGCTGTTGGAAGAGAAATCGGCTCTGGAACAACGGGTCGAGGAGTTGGAAACCTTGTACGACAATGCCAAACATGAATTGGATATAACACATGAAGTAAGTAATTTTAGAATTAAGTTGAAAAAAAAAAAATTGAGGGAATATTTGTCGACCGTGATTTTTCTATGCCCGGCATTTCTTGAAAAAATACTGTTTTTTTTAGAATTTTTAAAATAACGAAAATTTGATAGTCTGTAAACTATATGAGGCCTAAGCCACTCGAGATATTTAGAAGGGCTGCCTGTAACAAAAGTAAATGTATATTGGGAACCTGTGTATACTAATTCATACCCCTTTTATCGTTCATTAGGGTTTTAGAACAATGGTTTACGGTTTAAATTGGATATCGAATGAGACTAAAATATTACGCAGGTGTTTTTATCACGCATGTGACCTTTCGAACTAGATGTTGTTGCTGTGTAGTGCATATAACGATTGAGAATGCTTAAATATAAAATTAAATAACACATAAATCACCGACTAGAATTGTCGGAACTTGATCGAATATTCAATTAATTTATTTCGGTATTGGAGAACTTAAATATTATATCGGAAAAAAAACTTATATACAATGTACTGCAAAAGTAAACTTTGATTTTTTTGTGAACCATTTTTATTTGGCTTTTAGTTTTTTTTTTTTCATCAAGTCGAGAGTATGATGCCATGCTTATGTCATTTGAGCCCTTTTTATGGCATTTTCCATCTCTTTGGCCAAAACCTCCATCGATAGATTCTCACATTCTTGATGGATGTTGTCTTTAAGAGCTAAAAAGGTTTAAGGCTTTTTAACATAAACGCCCGTCTTTAAAAAGTCCCAGAAAAAGAAGCCTAGAGCCGGCAGGCGATCTTGCTGGCCAGTGCAAATCGCCAAAACGGGATATGCATCCTTTAGCATATCGATTGTGATACTTGCAGTGTGTGCCGTTGCACCGTTGCAGTGTTTCAAATTTTAGTTTGAATTGTATGTGTCAAAACCTATTCTATTTGGTCATATATCAAGCAAATACTGCACAATAAACAAGAAATCGGGTAAAAAATATGCATGGGAGCCATATTCAAATCTAAACCAATTAGTACACATTTCAATTCAGGTCTTTGGATACAAAAGTGCGTACTAAAATACATAGACAGACAGACGGACGAACATATACAAATTGCCTTAGAATCTGGTTCTTTGCAAATCTCCAAAATTAACTACAGCCCTATCTTGTTTCCGTTGCAAACAAAATGTGTAAAAGTACGTGTGGTACGTGTGTGCTAATCTGACTTGAGCTCCATTTTTAAAAATTCGGCTACTTTAATAGGCTGTAACCAGAGTTCTTCTATAGCGAGTTGGGTAGGTTTGGCAGTGCAAAGTAATGCACATCTTCGTCAATTCGTGCCCAATAGGAATTGAGACGACTGCACCATCCTGAACGTAATTGTCAGAATTGCTAGTCAGACCTTCTCTCTTATAGCGTTTGACCTCCATCTCTAGATCGTGTATGTCCTTCCTGACACGCCTTAGGGGGGAGTTGTATCTATTCGCCTCCTCATGTAGATGGTCCATTAGTGTCATGAGAAGGCACTCTGTATGAATATATTTGAGAAGAATGTGAGAATTTCTATCTCCCCACTGCCAAATAGCCTATGTCTCTTGTTGACTAACATGGGGCTTCTTCAAATCGTCTCTATCCCTTCTTCATCTTCGCATAGTCTACAGTAGTTGGGAACACCATCTAGAGGTCAGATATCTTCCAGTCGGTATGCCTACCACGATTCTCCTCGAAATAATTGGCATTAGTTTCTTCGATGACGATTTTTTGTAGTAACTGACATAATAAATTGTTGGTGGTTTAACAAGTTTCAAGTTTGAATGAAAGATTGAACTTGGCTGATGAATTAACTCTAGGCAGATCCATGTCGATTGATCGACCAATTGATGAGACTAATCGGTACATCAGCCGATTGGAATCCGGCTCGATCTGATTCTTCAGCCACTTAATTTTCCACTACATTGCTATGTCCTGGAACCCAGAAAAACCTTAATCTTTCACTCAAATTTGGTATATTGTAATATTTTTTAGCAGGTCTAGGTTATTTTCCAATATGGGCAATTTCGGTACACTGCTTCTGGTACCGACCCAAGAAGTAATAAATCTTACGTTTCAAGAATTGAGCCCATGGTGTCCAAATGGGCAAAGATCTGCAAAACTGACTTAGATAACCTGTCGAAAGTGATTTAGTATTTTGGAACGAGTGGTAGTCTGCATCTGGATTTTGTGGCAGATAATTTGAAAGACTAAGGGTGAGAAAGTCTTTTCCTCTAAGGTTGAGGTTGATAGGAGTATCCTATGGCATATCCTTGCTATTATATGATGTCATTTATAACCATTGATAACAATGAAATTTTCGCGAGAGTGTTTTTTAGCAACAACGTAGAATTGTCATTAGTTTTTATGCCTTACAGAGTGTGAAATTTTATTATTTTTGCTATTAATTCAATGGCATAACGTTCCCTCACGATCGCTCTATCTCCATTTTTTATTAGAAAATTATTTAATTTATCTATCTCACTTACATCCACACGTTACATAGCGTACATTTTTTCATTTCTAATTACCAACGCTTCTTTGGTATTTTAGATGCAATGTGTAAGATTTTATTTGAAAGTAAAGTAAACAAATTAAAGTTGTGTTGATAATCAAATACCTAGGCGGTAGGAGTGGAATGTTGGGAAATATTATCAACCTTTCAACAAATAAAGTTATTTTTTTACAATCATCGAACTGAGACTAAATTAATTTAATGGTATTTACATTTACTGGGATCTATTATTTAATTCCTTCTTTTAATTTCAAGTGAGATCGCATATTTCCGTACATGAGTAAGAAAAACGTTCGAAATTGCCAACAAATCAAAAAATGCCGCTTCCATGCAATGCACACACAAAATAACCGGCATAAAGTAGCGATGACTGAGCAAATATCGGGAGCATATTTTTGTTAGCAAAATTTGAAACTGTTTTGCGTAAGCGTTAGGTTTTTTCTTCGCTGACAATTTTCTTTTATCTAACTTTTTGAGATAAGAAACAAAAAAGAAACGACAATTTCTTCAGTGCTGGTTTCCAAAACAATTCTTGTTGTTTCTCTTCTTTCATTTTCTAAAAAAATTGCTTATTGTCCTATTAAAATAAGTTTAGCTTCTAGCCGGAGGAAATTTTTCAAATGATTTAGAATTGTTTCCTAATGCTTCTTGGTCACTTTGTCTTTCATTAAATAATGCTGATTGACTGTTTGGTTTCTTTGGTTCCATTAACTGCTCTTAGCTTAGCTGCTGTGCCAAAAGATATTAACAGGTGTCGGCGTCTCGTTAGGTGAGCAATTTTTGCGGCAGTAATCAACAATTGCCATTGTGGACTCTCAATTTGTTTTCATGTTTTTTTGTTTCGTTTCTTCTCCTCTCTACTTTGTGCTGCACACCACTGACTCATTCGGCCAGTGATCACGTGGCGGAATTCTTTTTACGTTTTTTTTTAGCCAAGAAACTGTAGATTGTGGATAACTTACTGCTGCCGTTTACTCTCTTTGTGATTGTGGAAATAATTTAGTTGTCTCATTTTATTGGTACTTGAAATACATTTGCGTACGCCTTTGATTTTGCAGCTTGGAAATTTAATTTGTGCGGACGGAGATATTAGACGGTGGAGGGGGCAATAAGAAAATATTTGAAATCTACTTTTAGTATGCCAATCAGGTATGTGTTTTGATTAATTCTTGTTTCTCGCTCACAATAGATGACTAGGTGTTTCAAGGTTGTAAAGTATTTTTAAGCTTGGAAGGGGAATTATATTGACTTAGGAATTCAATGTTGAACGATGTCAAATATTTTTAAAAATTAAAACTGTGTTAAATTGGACCTGATATACAGATCAGCCAATGTTCGATTATTTTAATATATTTTGACTTCTGTTATAATTATTCAAATTGTTGGCCCTCTATGGAGAAGGTTCCGAAGGAATGGATCAATATTGTTCATTTCGTATCGGACCTAAATAAATATGATATAAATATTGCGACGCACCAGATTTTGACCATATCGTCTACTTCCTTCACTCTATATGAGATGCGTGAGATTCAAGTTTCCACTTCGTCTAATGCTAATAAAAATATTGGTATGGGCAAAATTAATTACAAGAAAATCGTACATTTATATACAAGTTTATAAGAATCCAAGCAAATTTATGAGCCAAACAATTAACCAAATAAGTAAAAGAAATCATAAATTCCAAACTCTTCTCAGGTTTCTGGTTGAGAGTAATATTTATATATAGCAAATTGCTAAGAATTGCTGACTTATTTCGCAAGTTATGACAGATAAAAGTATTGAAAATTGTGACCGTTATTGTGGTTGAGGTACCAGAAGGGGTTCACTGACATATATCATCTTCCCAACAGATCTTGTGTTAGCAAAAATGTTTGTATGTGGGAAATTTGAGGAGATTGAAGAATTTGGATGCTTATTTCGCTTTATTTGAGCCTTTTATTTTTCAAAATCTTGAACCCTATGTGGGAGAGGTACCAGAAGAAATATTTCGCTTTCTTTGAGCCTTTTATTTTTCAAAATCTTGAACCCTATGTGGGAGAGGTACCGATCTTTATCATCTTTATAACAAATCTTGTGTTGATATACAACTTGAGATGTGCCAAGTCTGAATGATATCAGATGTTAATTTCGTGTTTTATGAGCTTCATGAATACCCAAGATTTTGAGTCTTTGTGGGGGAGGTACCAAAAGTAGTCAACCGATATACTTCATTTTCATACCAGACTTAATATTGTGATGTGTGTAATTTGAAGACAATCGGACACTTACATCACATTTTATAAGAGTTATAATTATTTAAAATTTTGACCCTTTGATGGAGGAGTTTCGCACCTCACCTAGCACTGATGCAAATATTAGGATTTGCAAAGTTGGAGCAAAATCGAATCATCCTTTCTCTTTCTGTGTTGTATTTTTTTTTTTTTTTTTTTTTTTTTTGAAAATTTCGGCCTTTTTTGGCGTAGGTACCCGAA